GTTAGTGTTGTGAGTATCGTGAGTATTTGGTAGGGTTGTGAGTATTTGTTAGTGTTGTGAGTATCGTGAGTATTTGTTAGTGTTGTGAGTATTTGGTAGGGTTGTGAGTATTTGCAGTGTCGTCTGTTTGCCACAGGTGTGTCAGATTGAGGGAGATTCTCCATTTGCATGTGTTTTCTTAAATTGTGTTGGAGAGATATTTTCATTGATTGGGCGATTCATTCATTTATTGTTTTTTTAGTCAAGATCCATGAAGTATTCCGGGGGAAAATATAGAAAACGTCCTATCTTGCAAGTTAAAGAAAGTTGGGGGGCGGGGGGGGGGGTTGTGCATCAAGACACTCAAGTCCTCAAGGTCCCTGAACTGCACCCAGGGAACAGCACAAATGGCTCCCTCCATTATTGAGTGCAGCAGAATGGTACCTCACTCTCTTGTGCCAGCACCTGTCAGAGTAAGAATGCCTGGATGGCTGTATTTGATTTAAGATAAAACCCTCAGTAAAACAGGTTTTCTTGCACGTACTGTCATGCACCTCCTAAATTCCAGATGAGAGACCGAATGTGTTCTTGCAGATCGCAGAAGGGCTCATTGCTCCATTTGAGATGCAGATGTTTCACCTGCTGTGTGGGCCCCTCTCGGCCCTAATGATTATGAGCAGTGTCCTGGCTTCTGAGGGTGGATGGGATTTTGCTCAGTCAATGTTGGGATGTTATTATAGGTATATTGTTGCCATGTCATCGGAAAGTGAAGGCGATTCATGAACGGATAAGACCAGAAACCTTCCAGTGCTCAGAGTGAGTATGAGACCTGATGTATTCACTATATGCACCAAAAAGTTTTGCTAACAATAGTTAGGCACTTTTGACATATAGGTCAGTGGATAGTCAAGTGTATTCACTGTTTTAGAAAGATGTTGCTGTTTTGTATTGATTGTATTGTGTAAGGTACATGTTGAATTCTAATAATTTACGAGAGGGAAATGTGTTTTGTTACCTTGTGGTTTTGAATTTCTCATCAAACACATGCCATCTCTTTTAAAATGTCTTGTTTTTTCTATGAGGCAATTTCTTGATAAATTTTCCTTTTCAAGCCAATGTAGTCAGTCTGTTATTGACATCATCTTTTATGTATACAATTTGCCACAGTTCCTGAAGCACAGAACTTAACGTTCATTTCCCCCCCCACTTTCTGTTGTCAGCTTTGACCCTACATCGTTTATTAGATCCTTGGCTACAATCCATGAAATTGAGAAGATAAACACGGCTGGTTTCCTCCCAGGAGTCCGTCTTGGATATTTGATGTGCGACACATGCTCATATGCAAGCAAAGCACTGCAGAATGTCATGCACATGCTTGCAGTCAACGGCTCTCTAAATGTAGCATGTAACTACACTGACTTCAGACCCGGAGTCAAGATTATTTTAGGGGCACTATACTCTGAGGAGTCCATTGCTGTGGCCCGACTGCTAAATGTCTACATGGTCCCTCTAGTAAGTCACACATGCTATTCTACAAATTCATTTTACTGCAAATATATCATTCCATCTTTGTTCTCATTAAGAAATACTTCACATTTTCCAGAACTTTTCCTGTCAGCCTCGTTGTAAAATGTCCAAGTTAACCCATGTATGAGTTTACTGCAGGAAAATGTTATGTGTGTTTGTGTGTATGTTAATATTTTTGGGGGTCTAATCTAGTCTTATTATATTTTACCAGCTAAGCAGCACATCATCTTCACAAGAGCTGAGTGACAAGCCCCGCTACCCAAGTTTTGTTCGTATCGTTCCCAGTGATATTCATCAGACCAAAGCAGTGACCAAAATTATGCATCACTATCAGTGGAACTGGGACGGGGTTGTTTATGGAGACGATGATGACGGCAAGGCAACTTTTGATAGCTTCATCAGAGATGCTGGTGCAAATAATGTGTGCTTGGCCTACCAGGAGGTGGTGCCACATTACCTCGATCATGTGAACAATGAGCAATGAACAACAAGGACCTGGATAGCCAGTGATGCGTGG